GCTGAAAACGAATGTTATTTTATTATTCTGTCTAGAGCTAAAGGGAGCTGCTCTTTTCATGCACAATTGACAAGAATTTGTGTATAGTATATTGGAAGCTTCTGCAAGAATCTTCAATGGGGGACGCGGAATTAGGTTTTGGAAAACAGAAATTAGGATCGTTGTGAAACAATATAGAAAGCATGAAATGAAGAAGCAGAATTTGAATAACTTAACCCGATTGAAGATTCAGCGTATGAGTTTCAAACAAAGCCATCATTCTGCAAAATATGGGATCCTACCATTGGGTATTACATGTTCTGTCCTAAATTGTTGAATCATGTTCATCCACACATAAGTATGTGTATGTGAAACAAACCTCTCCGATACGGAGTTCAACCTCAGGTACTGTTGATGACGAGTGTGGAAACAAGCGCCAACTATTCTGAAGACGCAGCTGTAGCCAACAAAGTTCCTTACTACGCTTATAGAACGCTAGGGAGCCAACACCTCAGTTCCAGTACGAAGACAGAGCGCAACTGCAACCACTATTGGGCCAAATCGCAAACATATATCAGTCAATCACACAAATCTGGATTAGCGATCTCTCAGCTACTGCAGAAATAAAAGCAACTTAATTCCGGCATGGAACATAGTGAAGTACCCAGACCACCTAGACTGAGATATTGTCACGAGAGCACTACGGTATCGCTTGGGATCACCGGCGGAGAAGTGCTCATCAAATGGCAGTGATGAATTTGCTGTCCAATTTCTTTTCCCTTAAGTGTCACTTATGAAATTGCCTGCTAACGTCGACACTAATCGATCAACTGATAGCCTGAAGAGAAGGCTTCTTATTCCGTAGAAATAAATGGCTTTCTTCCATTCAAAGGAGAAGCTCTAGGAGGCTATAATGGTACTACTAGAGGGATTAGAAAGTGCGGATTTTATGTTCTCTCCTATGATCAATAACCGATTTAAAGAAACACGTAGCGGTGATTCCCTAACATTATTAGCCTAAATCACTTAACGTTGGATGATAACCCTCGCCATTTAAGTAGACTCTTTTAGCTGAATGCATCCATGAAATTTGGCGAGCCATCGTTTTACGTCCGTGCACAATCCCTAGTTAGTTAAACAATCAGCATTACACTACAATTTCAGTCCCGAAATATATTTCCTATTCTGAACGGCCAATTTGGTGTTTTGATTTGGTTTTGGTCTATGCAGAACAAATATTAGAGAAGCTGTGAGTATAAGAACTTGCGTTAGTATACGTCCTACTCTCCGCAAACGTTAAAACTCCCTCATTCGCTAGAAGCACAGAAAGAAAATGGTTACTTCTGTGAAACACCTTCGAGAACTAACCATCGTAATACCTTTTCCCGTCGAGCTGTTTCTATCCGTCGCAATGAATAAAGCTATTCCAAATGTAGTGAACAGAGGCTATCACAGATCTAAAAACTTGCTTAGGGACAAACAATGTAGGCCAAAAGAAGTTAACCCACTGAACCAATTAGACAATATGTATTCCAATTTACAAAACATTTTGCAATAACTGTGAGTCGACCCAATGTCAGTTAAGTTACCGGAATACAGAAATTTAGTCAAATCTAGAATAACTGATCCTTAAAAGATGGCGATCTTAGAGCGAAGAACTCAGAAATCACAACTTATGCCAACAACACACAACTGCTAGACATGGTGGTACAGAGGCTTAAATGAGTGCAGCCAAACCGAATCTCGCATGACTTCTCATTGTTAGGAAAATCTGAATGACATGCGTAGCTCAAAATCTCACCGCCATATTGGAAGACACACTGAAGAAGGGCATTTAGAGAATCGTGATTAAATCAAACAACCCAGAGAAAACAACCATACCAGACAGTAAGACTATCTGACATAACCTTGATTTGGCACACTTATACTGATGTAATTAGGTGATGTTTTTGAAGATGAAATGAAGATCTGCAGTCGGGTGAGGGGGGGGATTCAGGTCATAGACCTTCGAACAACTAGTCAGACGCTCTATCATCTGGAGGATGAGGCCTGACTCTCATTCGAGAACTCAGTTACCTGGGACAGATCTCTCATGTATCAGGCTAATAGCCTGAGAGTCAAAGATACTATTCAATTGTCCAGGTTGAAGTAGGTAGGAGCTGGACTCGAACCCGTGACCCATTGGCACTTTAATATATGCCTAAAACTTGGGCACCGTGGTAGTACGTTAATTCCATATTAATTTCTTTATTGGACATATAACATACAGTGAAACAATATTATTACCTACTGGATGACATTTCGAACACAATTTATTATTGTTCACAATCAAATCAGTCGTAATTACACAACTTTGAAACTTGAATTTTACGGTTCTCTTTCATCCTTCCTATTCATCGTAGATGTAGTAGAATTTTCCAAATATCTGGGACAGATGCTGAATTATTCTTGCTGCACATGTTTTTAGTCGATTCAATACACAAAGCTCCTGTTATCAACCTCTAGTCTCCACTCTGTCATACCAGATTTTAAGACTCATCTTATCCCATCCCAATTTTATAGGATGTGTGTAACAGCATACAGTGATGTAGTTGAGTTATTTTCTACATTCCTTATCTTATTAGGGTCAACTAATCTAGATTTTGATATAGGGTGGATTTGTCCCTTCAGGTAGATGATTTTGGCATAGCTGAGAAGCTTTCATTGTCGTCTTACTAGACAACATCTTTAGTGCATACCTTGAATTGCAGTAAGCTTTTAAAAGTCTCCACGAGTTCATTATTCATCTCTCCTGATAACACTGAAGGTCATCAGCTGCTTCGTCCATGATTTTCAGGCCAAGGAAACAATCAATGCAAATACAAGGTTACCCAGTAGAGATGACTAATAAAGTCACGAAGAATTTCAAAATGTATTATTATCATTGTTAACTTAGGTCCATAGTGGAATATAGGACTTTAACAGTACATCGCCACTTTTGTCCTATTATCTGAGGTCCTCTCTAGTTGGCCTCACGATTACCCATAAGATTTCATCTCCTGCATGTCAAACTCGGAGGCCCTACTTGCCGTTCCCCTTTAGGACTCCACTAACTACAGCGACAGCCTCCACGACGTGTGCCCGATCCATCTCCGTTTCCTTCGGCATATTTGTTCAGCGATAGGTTGTTGTTTAATTCATCGCCAGAGTTTCTCGTTGCTAATTCTTTCTAGCCAGCCATTTGATATTCAATATGGAGAGAAGGTGGTTGTTGATAAAGGTCTGCTCTTCGTGACGCGTGCAGCACCTGAATTGGGAATCTGAATTTTGTTCTTTATACTGAGTGCAGACGATTCCCAGACTAGTTTTCTATCTGGTCCTAAGCCCGGGTACGTTGGAGACGTGGGGCTGATGACCCTACCTCAGGAAATCAATCCAATCATTACAGAAACTTCAAAGCGCAACAAAAATATTTTTAAAAACAAACAAACTTATTCGTCGCTAGAATCGGAGACACAAAATGACGAGAGCTGCTTGTCAGACAATATGTTTCCTCTTTCAATGAAAGTGAAAATGACAACATTGGGACATGGAATGTTCGTGCAATGTAGAAGGAGGCTGGGGGGGTGGCTACCCAGGTTGCCGCGAAAGAAGTCAGCCGAATTTCAAAAGTTGAACTATGCGCTGAGAATGTTGTCCCCTAGTAAGACAATGCAAGCTTCTCAACTGAACCAACCATCCAGCTCATCATCTCTGATTGACCCTGTTCTTCTACTACTTTGACCTGTTAATCACTGAAGCGTATTTCACAAACTAAATTATTTGATTTAATCAGTTTCACAAGATCCTTGAACAACAGACATAATTTATGGGTTTTAAATGCCACTGATCTACTGACACTGACTGGAAGTTTTCAATCAGCTCCATGTCTCTACGAGCCTTAATATGCCTAATACTCACCAGGGGGGGGTGGTAATATTTCACGGTATTGACTTAATCACTTGTTTTCCTCTTCTTTGAGTCTTAATGACTATTCGCACACACACACACACACAAACTTTGAAATACATAACTGTTGAAAGAGAAAATACACTCTGTAAACTCATAAAATCAATTAGTGAATGAATTTCAAACCAACTAACCGATACAAAAAACATGGAGGACCTGAACTTCGCCAATGATATATGTCTGATTTCCCACAAACTAGAAGATATACAAGTGAAAAGCAACAAGCTGGCCAAAGAAGAAGCATCCAAGATAGGACTCCCTTCAGGTGAACATAGAGAAAACAGAGGTGATGAAGATTCCTGGCCAACAGCAACAGCAACAACAACAGAAACAGACAAAAGTCAGCATAAATGGGAGGAACCTGAAAGAAACAACATCCTTTACCCATCCACCTGGGAAGTGTCGTTTCAACTACAGGCTCACGGAACTGACGAGGATATCAAAGCAAGACAAGCTTTCATTACTCTTAAGTCTGTGTGGAGGTCAACAGCACTCAGCATCAAAACGAATATAAGATCCGGATCTTCAACTCCAATGTGAAGTCAGTCAGTGCTACTCACTATACGGATCAGAGACTTGGCCAGCACGTCATAAAGAGCATGTCAAACAAACTACAGACCTTCATTAACAGTTGTCTTCGCTCAATACGACTCAGGATCAGATGGCCGGCCAGAAAAGATCACCAACAGGGATCTCTGGCAATGAGCGAACCAACTCAGCAGGAACCGATTGTGCAAGATATAAGCAGGAAGAAATGAAGATGGATTGGCCATACACTGAGGAAACCATCAAGTGATTGACATCACTAGACAAGCCACAGCTCGAGTGGAACCCGAAAGGGAAGTGGCGAGTTGGTCGTCAGTGCAAGGGTGACTTGGAGGTCATGTAAAGGAAGAGGAGATGAAAGCATGTGGGAAGACTTGGAGCGGGGTGAAAAAGTTCGCAGAAAACCGAAGGCGATGGAGACGCGCAGCTGAAGCCCTATGTTCCTCTAGGAATTAAAGGACATAATAATAATAATAATAAAATAATAATAACCAACAACAACACTGTAATAATAAAAAAAACCACAATTGTGTATAAATATGTATACAAAATTCGCGCGCTCTTTTCAAACATACTTTTGAAAAAAAGAGGTAATTTTGACAATAAAAACAACCGCATGTTACACACACACACACACACATCCAGAATCCACTAGTAAACATTAAAAATAGTCTTTTTTTAAAAAATAAAAAAGGTGTTTGAATACAATAGTATCACAAAGAGATCGAGGACTGGTTGGTTGGTACACAGCAGAATATACACGTTGGTCTACAAAATGTCAGTTTAATTTAAGGTGGTGGGGGGAGACCTTTGCATTCATTCATTCATTTATTCCAATTATGACGTCATACAAATTGGAATACAAGGAAGACACTATACACTCATAATAAAATGTTAAGAATAATAGCAAATAAGAAATAACAGCTAAAAAACACACAAACAGACAGACAGACAGACAAATGAACAAACAAGACAATAAAAGTGCTACTACTCCCTATTACACAACTACTACAAAACTGCAACGATTACCAACGATTAATACCAAAGAAACGAACCCTATAGAATTGTGGAAGTTTTGGTAGTACAGCTAATATAATCATTGAAGAGGCATTGACAAGACAATGCAAAGGATCATATTCTGTATAGAAACTGGCGAGTAAAAATCTACAAAAAACAATAAAAGGTTTACAATTAATTTAAAAAAGTGTATTGATAATGGAACAGGTTAAGGTTTTTTCGAGTTTGACCAGGGATTGATATCAGTTAAAAAAAGCTCATTGTAAACCAGTATTGGAGTACTGGACAACTGTTTCCTCCTAGTTTGGGACTCTCCATCAGTACACACCCACCGCCAGAGTTTGAACCGAGCACCTTCCGGTTACACGGCAAGCTCGTAGATCATTCAATCACCGGAACCCGACTCCTCAGTGGCCAGCCCATGAATTCTAACTTCTACCACAATCCGTGATTTTAGCGCAACCGGCACCAATCGAAGTCGTCGGCGGGAAATTCGTCCTCACTTCCGACTGCTGGTTGGATCACCTCAAACACTGGTCACGACTTCTCACTAGAACTAACTCCAGGAAACTCCATCCTGTAGCAAGTCAATCACTGGCGAGCACCAGATTAATCTCCGAGAGTTGGTTTCCAATGGTTCTTTAACTGATATCAATCCCTGGTCAAACGCGTAAAAACAAATCTAATGCCCTACACATAACAACTCTTGAAGAATATTTATTGATTAGATATGATCAAACTCAATTTAAAGATACACAATGATGACTAGGATGAAGAAGCTGTTATTACCCAATGCAGTACAGGTGAAGTGAACACAAATAAGCTTACTTGTATTTAAACGTATTTCTTTAACTGCTCACCCATCTTATGGAAAACTGTGCTCCTGTCAAGTGTTGGTGGTTTGCAGAAGGACTTGATGATTTGTTACAGGTTTGATAGTGTGAGATGACATGAGCTAGAGAACTAACTATTGAGAAACTAAGGAGTACTGACTGATATCAGCTTGTGGCCGAACCTATAACCAATCATCGAATCCCTGTGAACCAACACACACACACTTGGTAATTAATCGGGATGCTCATTGGTGACTGATTACAGGCATACAGTTGCCTGCAGTTCTAGTGAGAAGTCATGACCAACAGGGTTTGCTAAGTCAGGTAAGAGAACATCTACTCGTATATGACATTGATTGGTGCCTGAACAATATATATATATATATATATATATATATATATATATATATATATATATATATATATGAACCTGAAACCAATCTGGAAATCTTCGTCAGTCAGCCAGCATCAACAACAAAATTCGTTCGGATTTTCAATACAAACAACGTCAAGTCAGTCAGTTCTTCTATACGGATCAGAAACTTGGTGGGCGAGTCACAAAGAATATTTCCAACAGCCTGTTGCAGACCTTTATCAACCAACAACTGTCTTCGCTGGCTCTATACTCAAGATCAGATGGCCGGGCCGGAAAGAATCACTAACAAGAAACTATGGGAGGGAACAAACAAAACAAGAACCAATCGCCAACCAAAAAATGTGCAGGAGAAAGTGGATATGGATTGGACACTCGCTGAGAGGGCCACCGCTGGGTGACATCGCACGTGCATCAGGCCATCGCTCGAGTGGAACCCGACAGAATGGGAAGCGGCGAGTGGGACGTCGATGCGAGGGTGACATGGAGGAGATCGTGTGAAGAGGAGTTGAAACAGTATGAACGGACTAACATGAATGCAGGTGAAAAGTACAGCAGAACCAAGACAGAAGCAAGTGGAGGCGTGGAGTTGAAGCCCTATATTCCACTAGGAACCCAAGGGAACAATAATAATATGATAAAAATACACTATATATAACACAATGAATGACTGGTTTCAACATAAAAATTTGCACAAAAGTGCTACACTCCTTTCATGTACCATTCAAAGCAAGATGAGAGTAAAGGGGGATTCAAAAAAGAGATAATAAAAAAGAAATATGAGGTAAAAATAATAGTAATTGAAGGAAAATACAATTTTATTGGAGATTATAAATCACAAAGAGTGATTACATCTGTACCAGACATTGACAACGATTTTGGGTCATATCACCAATTGTTTTCGGTCGGTATTGGTTGGTTCTTACCATCCCGAGAAACTCAACCAGTCAGGAAGTCTGCATCTTCCTACATGGCTTCAACCAACTGTTGTGGATTTCATTGACTACTGATGAAGCCATGTTTTGGTTTGACCACCACTAACTCACTTTTTTTGCAACCTGACTCTATGTAAGTCAATATTGCCCGTTGTCGAGGAAGGCAGGAAGCCTTTCTTGACCTAGGTTTTGGTGCGAGTCGATACAAGTTAGAATTTATGGATTGTTTGGGTTAGTGATCAATGGACTCACCTCCTAACCTGAAAGTGTCTATTGAATTGAATTCGGTCCAATCAATCGACGGGAAAGCCAAAAATTCAATTCAATTAAATTAATATGACCCGTTGCACAAGAGGTGGCTCTCGTGGCCCAAGTGGTCAAGTGGATAACGCTTCAGCTGGCGTTTGAAACTATGGGCACTGGGTTCCAGCATCAGTGGGAACATCATCACTCACTGAGAAATGCAGGTACATCCAGATGACGAGTCCCAAATAGGACGAAATGCGCTTTATCCTGGATTCCACTGCTAGCCACCATCCACCAATTGTATACTGAAAGTGTCTAATTCAATCTCCGGTGGTGGGATCATAGGCGTAGGTATACTAATGAAAATTTTCAAACTAGGAGGAAACAGATGTCCAGTAATCTCTCTGCTAGCTTTTAATAGTTCTCTGTATTGATGTCAGCTCATGATATAACTTTAATTCATCAAAAATCTCAGCAACCCAACACTCAGAACAAAACAAAATTTATTTATTCGGGTGATGATGATGATGGGTAGCAGTGTATTGCAGGACACGTATTCCATTCCGTTTGCAACTAACTCATCAACTGGATGGATATGCATACCCAGTGAGCGAGTGAGTAAAATGACAGTATTCCCCTCTGGTACTCAAACCCGGAATCGACTAGTTCCACAAACAACAAAGGCCAGTAACAAGAGAAAGGAATTCACTCATTTTAAAAAAAATTCACCCCAACACTTCCTTTGAAATCATTATTTTTTTCAAGTATTAATTTCTAAGGATTTGCTTGATTAATTACAGGATATCATCATGAGCTGAGATTGGTTAGAGTACCATTGGAAAACCAACTGGGAGTACAGAACAGCTGTTTCCTCCTAGTTTGGGACTCTTCATCAGTAAGCACCCCCTGTGGGGTTTGAATCCAGGACCTATTGGTTACAAGGCTAGCGCGAGCTCGTAGACCACTAAGCTACTGGGACTCGATCCAATGGCCAGTCCATGAATCCCAACACCTGTCAATTCACTACATAGTCGTGACCAGTAGGGTGCAACAGGTCGGGTGTGAGGACAAATACTCGCCGAAGACATTGGTTAGCGGTTGCGCTATGTCGTGAATTGGCAGAAGCTGGAATTCATGGACTGGACATTGGATCGGGTCCCAGTGGCTCAATGGTCTACGAGCTCGCTAGCCTTGTAACCAGAAGGTCCTGGGTTCGAACACCACATGTCTGTCTGTCTGTTTTCGACATAGAACTTTGCACAAATGTGCGGCAGTTCAAGTCGCCACACTAGTGTCCTAACATTAAATGCTCCTATGTGAAATTGGTGGAGTGGCTTTAGGAGACTATCGGTGGTGGTTTTTTGGCTTCCGTCGTTTTCAGTGGACACAGAGTGGAGAGGAAGTGAAGAGCTACCAAGCAGAGGAGTCGCATCAGCGGAAGGAAGGCAAGATGATAGAGATGAAGATGAAGACAAAGATGAGTGAGTATTAGAGAGGTTTCGTGTGCATTTCAGATTGTGAGGGCGATTGTTACTTCCCGGCCGCCCACACCGTGGAAGTTGGTTACGTGACCGCAGAGCCCAGGGGACAACTGCTTGAGGCCGGTCACACACGGCCTGCTTTTCTTTTTGTTCTTCATTGTTTGGTGTGTTTCAGTCGCATATTTATCACTCCTGCCCTGTGACACGGCAGCAGGAAGCGCGGTCGTCGTTAATCCGGGCCCCGACCGATCCGGCATGATATTTTGTGAATTTGTATGTATCAGTGTTGGATTGGGTAGCTGCTTTTTGTCTAACCGCTATCCAAACAACCTTTTTGGCATGGTAGGACCTCAAGAGACATAAGTCTCAGCCAGTATAGCTTGATTAGGTCATTTTAGTGTTCAAGCCCGACCACCACGTCAAGGTAGCAGCTTTCGATCGGGACTACACTTCTAGTCAGGAGATCTAACCGGTACAGTACACCAAATCAGGTATGAAGACGTATACTCGTAGATGAGACATTGGTTATCAACAGCGCTATACTATGGCGAGTCGACACGAGTTAGAATTTATGGGTCATTTGGCTAAGTGATCAATGGACTCACCCTCCTAACCTGAAAGTCTCCAGTCTAATCCCCGGTGGTGGGATCATAGGTGTATGTATACTAATGAAAAGTCCCAAACAAGGACGAAAAATATATCCAGTAATTTCTGTGCTAGTTTTTAGCAGTTCACTAAATTGATATCAGTTCATAACATAACTGTAAATCAACTAAAATCTCAGCAAATCAACACTTAGAATAAAACACAAACAACTAGTTTATTTATTCGAGTGATGATGATGATGCGTAGGACACGTATTTTGTTCCGTTTGCAACTAAGTCATCAACTGGATGGATATGCATTCCTGTAACCAATCAACCAAATCCTTGCAAACCAACACTTGAATATCAATGAGATGCTAACTGGCGACTGGCCCTATTCAGGTAGGTAGTTACCTGGGGTTCTAGTGAGAAGTCGTAAGCAGTAGGGTGAAGCAGATCGGGTGTGAGGACAAATACTCGCCAAGGACATTGGCTAACGGTTGCGCTATTTAGTGAATTAGCAGAAGCTGGAATTCATGGACTGACCATTGGATCGGGTCCCGGTGGCTCAATAGTCTACGAGCTCGCTAGCCTTGTAACCAGAAGGTTTTAGGTTCGAGCCCTGGTAGTGGGGTGGGTGCTTACTGATGAAGAGCCCCAAACTAGACTGACGAAACAGCTGTCCAGTACTCCCA